CTTAGAACTTTAAGTAGTTAAACTAAGCAGAAAGAGGAAGGATGGGTGCTCCAGAATTCCATGGAGTTGCAAAGATTTTTAGTGAGAGGATTAGATCTCTTAGTAAAAAAATTAGAGAAGTCATAGAAATGTTAGTTAAACCCCCAGTGATGTTACCCATGAGATTATAAAATATAAATTACTTAGATTTACATGTTGGAAACCTTAAGAGTATTCCCTTTAAATTATAAACTTCTTAACCAAGAGGAAAAACAAAGAGTTACTCATGAAAAGTTACAAATTAAAATAAACAGATCTCTTGAAAAGAAGAAAATATTTTATGGAGATTTGCTAAACAAGATTAAGAAATGATTATTCTTTCTTTTTAAATTTTACCTGTCTGGTGCCTTAAATTTACAAGGCTTTCAGAGATCACTATCATTCATTTGACACCTGAGTTCCTTTGAATTATTGGAATCTGGGTTTTGTCTTAATTTCCACGTCCACTAAGCATCCGACTCAAAAGACTGGGCATAGAGAGTAGCTTGATACGAATACATTTACTCCTAGTAATTTCTTCAAGTCCATACATTGTCAGAATTATTACTGCATTACTGATGAAACTGGAAAAGTAGGCTGTCAGTGGAGAGGCTATCAGGGGGAAAAAAAAAAGCTTAAAAGATAGTCAAATGTAGAGGCACCTGGCTGGCTCAGTCAGAAGAGCCTGTGACTCTTGATCTCTAGGTCATGGGTTTGAGCACCACATTGAGTGTAGAGATTACAAAAAACAAAACAAAACAAAAAACCTTAAAAAATGAAAAGATGGGGCCGCTGAGTGGCTCAATCAGTGGAGAGTTCAACTCTTGATTTTGGCTTAAGTCATCATCTTCCAGTTCTCAAGTTTAAGCCCTGTGTTGGGCCCCTGAGCTGACAAGCGCAGGGCCAGCTTGAGATTCTTTGTCCCCATCTCTCTCTGTTTCTCCCCTGCTCTCATGCGCTCTCGCTCTCTCTCTCTCTCTCTCTCTCTCAAAATAAATAAACTTAAAAAAAAGTGTTAAAAAAAAAAGACAGTCAAATGTAGAAAATACCGTAAGCTCTAAAACCTCAACAATGTCAAAATAATTGAAAACACACAGTGTTCTCCAGCTACAAAGGAATCAAACTAGAAATTAATAGCAAAAGGAAATAGGAAAATCTGCAAATACATGGAAACTAAGCAATATATTTCTAAATAATCCATAAGTCAAAGAGGAAGCTTCCAAGAGAGATACATTAAACTGACCTGGGGGGAAATACAGTGGAGATCATTTCTTCCTCTGAACATCTGAGACACTTGTACGTATAAGTTCCCCTCCTGGTTTGTGGGGTTTATGGTGCTGACCAGCCTGCAGGGGCCACTCACCTTTAAAATGAAAATCTCCATTTTTCTACAAGTTTGCTTTGCCCTTTTCTCTGCTACCCTGACTGTTGTGCTTTGTGTTTGAGTAATTTAAATTCACCAGTAGATCTTTATAGTCCAAATTGTTAAAGATCCACATCTGAATGTTTTTTTAAAAGTTCATTTCTGAGAGAGAGAGAGAGAGAGAGAGAGAGAGAGAGAAAGAATCCCAAGCAGGTTCCGAGCTGATAGTGCAGAGCCCAACTTGGGGCTCCATCCCACAAACTGTGAGATCATGACCTGAGCTGAAAGCAAGAGTCAAACACTCTGAGCCACCCAGGTGCCCTCACATTTTAATGTTTTAACCAGAATTTTTATTACTTCAGAAGATAAATACTATGTGTTCTGTGGTATTACTGTGACCACAGAAAACAAGAGGGCATTGTTTAGAGCCTTGGGTTAGAAGGAAGAGAAGGGGTGGGGGGTAGAACAAGCTGGAGTGGGGCTGCCTGAGGTGAAACTTACTTAGCTCAGAATTACCAGAGAATTGGGGGAGGGGAGGAAAGACCTGGAAAAAGCCCACAGTCCATTCTGCACCTTAGCCTGGGCATGAGTGTTTTCTGGAAGCTCTGTTGTGGAGCAGAGGGGACTCTCTGAACACCACACTGCCTTCTCTTTGCACAGCTTCCTGTTCCCACACGACAGGTACAGTGTGGCACAGGAAGGGCTCACCTGTGCCGTTCTGAGAAAGAAGGCTGTGGAAGAAGTTGTGCCACTAAAGCTTTTGCTTTATAGGGGCTTGGATGCCCATCTTGCATTTGGCTTGGCAAAGTTGAAAGCATGAAGTGACATCTCTGTGGGTCTTCTCTCTCCTGAAAGTCAGTGGCTCTTACAGCAACACTGCTTGTGGCCTCAGATCTAGTAAAGTAACAGCTAAAATTGATACAGAACTTGCTATGCTCCAGGCACTGTTTCAAATGCTTTGTGTATGGTAACTCATTCAATCTCATAACATCCCTATGAGGTGGGTACTCCTGTTCCCTCTGTTTTACAGAGCAGGACGTGGAGGCACGGAGAGGACAAGGAACTTTGTTAAGACTTCACAAGGCTGTCTGCCTCACAGGTCTTTTTTTTTTTTTTTAATTTTTTTTCTACATTTATTTATTTTTGAGAGACAGAGACAGCGTGAGCAGGGGAGGGGCAGAGAGAGAAGGAGACACAGAATCCATAACAGGCTCCAGGCTCCAAGCTGTCAGCACAGAGCCCAACTCAGGGCTCAAACCCACGAACCGTGAAATCATGACCTGAGCTGAAGTTGGACACTTAACCGACTGAGCCACCCAGGCGCCCCTGCCTCACAGGTCTTAACCAGGAATTAGGAAACATCCTGTAATGGGCCAGACAGTCTCGGCTATGACTACTTGACTCTACCGTGGTAGTGTGAAAGTATCCACAGACAACACTTAAATGGATGAACATGGCCGTGTTCTAATAAAACTTTATTTACAAAAACAGATAGTGGGCTGGATTTGACCCATGGACCCTAGGTTGCAGACCCCAGCTCTTAACTGTTAACTAGCACTACACCTCATGTACATGAAACCTCTCATTTATGTTTCCTCAGATTCCTGTCCATTCCCACGACATTCCATTCAAATGGCAACTGTCATTTTAGGAAACTTACAGTTTACAACACATCTGCTCTTCGCAGTATTTTTTGAAGAATGTTTTATCACTGTCCAAAGAGTTTATTTATTTATTTATTTTGAAAGAGACCAAGTGGGGGAGGAGCAGGGAGAGAGAGGGACAGAGAGAAAGCCCCAAGCAGGTTCTGCACTGACAGCACGAACCGTGAGATCGTGATCTGAGCCGAGATCAAGAGTTGGACACTCAACCAACTGAGCCACCCAGGCACCCCTCACTGTCTCCATTTTAGAGAAGAGCAAAATGAGGCTTCAGAGACAAAGTCACTTGCCCAGGGTGTTGTGTTACGAAGTTCTTTGGCATGTTCTAAACTTGAGATCTAACTCAGTAAACACCAACTTTCCCATGCTGCCCTTCCATTCTAATGTTGATGTTCACTTTTTTCCTTCTAAAATGCTTTTTTCTCAGTCTATTTTGTGCTGTCTTGTTGGGAAATCAAAGGAGAAGCACCCTGTCTTCTTGTGAACCTTATAGAATCTTCTCTCTGAGCTTTTAGAATCTTCTTGATGAAAAGTCTTATATCATGCCAGGTCTCTGAGGGCTATGGGGATGGACACAATCTAAGCTTGAGTATAGAGACTACTTAATGATTGTCATTCTTTTTTTTTAATATTAAATTTATTGTCAAATTGGTTTTCATACAATACCCAGTGCTCATCCCAACAGGTGCCCTCCTCAATACCCATCACCTACCCTCCCCTCCCTCCCACCCCCCATCAACCCTCAGTTTATTCTCAGTTTTTAAGAGTCTTTTATGTTTTGATTGTCATTCTTAAGAACTAGGAGGGATCTGTCAAATGCAGGATCTATGCACCAAAGGGCCAAAGGAATGTGAGGCTCAGCATCAGTGACTCACATTTATTTGGAGTGTAATCCATGGTTGGTGCTGTGCTTAGTATTTTTATATATTATCATCTTCTCGGAACCACTCTTGAGGTAGGCAGGTCTCATTATCCTTCTGCAGATGAAGAAACAGAAGCAGAGAAAGCCCAACAACATATGCTATAAAGATTGACTGTAATGTCTCTCTGACCTTTTTGAGGAGAGCTTAGATGTTCATGTATCGGAAATACTGCCAGTGGCTGGGCAATAAACAGAAGTTTCCAGCCAAAGTAAACTCTTCCTTATTCCTCTGCCTTGTTTGAGGCCCATGGATATGCTAGTAGAGAAAAAGGAAGAAAATCTCCCCAGGAGAGACAGCAGCTCTCAGAACCCTCCCTAACCAGGCCTCCTCAGTTTTCCCAATGCTTATCTCTGGTGCCTTTGCCTAAACCCTTAGCATTCCCAATAAGGTATCTACAGTGTGGTATGAGACATTATCTCACTACCCTGCCACGATGTTTTCCACTGTGATTGTGTAAGAGCACAAAAATATTACTTCACCCTCAAAAATTCTTTGTTTTTAATGTTTATTTATTTATTTTTGAGAGAGAGCACAAGCAGGAGAGGGACAGAGAGAGAAGGAGACACAGAATCTGAAGCAGGCTCTGTGCTCCAGGCTCCGAGCTGTCAGCACAGAGCCCGACACAGGGCTCGAACTCACAAACCATGAGATTATGACCTGAGCCAGAGTCAGATGCTTAGCCAACTGAACCACCCAGACACCCCTCACCCTCAAAAATTCTTAGTGGGAAATGGTCAGTTAAGTCTTATCACCAAGTTCTAGAGAAACATCAGTGGGGTAGAATTCAGGGGAAGCCAGGAGACTTCCCACTTCCGAAATTACAATTCATTTTGGTCCGGGGAGCAAGTCTTCTGTAGACACAGCATCTTCTGTTCCTGCCGCTGCGCTGTGCCCAGATCCTGCCGTCAGAACGAAACCCTGGTTGGTCTTTGCCAAAGGTCTCTCGGCAGCTCTCGGTGCCAAACCATCTTCGCATCTATGAACAGTTGTGTTTTCTTGCTTAAAATACAGCAACATTGTTTGTGTTTCTGTCAGAACGTGAAAAAGACCGACTGGTTCCAGGAGTGGCCAGATTCCTACGAGAAGCACATCTACAGCTCAGAGGACAGGAATGCGCAGCGGCACCTGAGCAGCTGGGCCATGCGCAACACCAACAACCACAACTCGCGCATCCTCAAGAAGTCCTGCCTGGGCGTGGTGGTGTGCAGCCGTGACTGCTCCGCCGAGGAGGGGCGCAAGATCTACCTGAGACCGGCCATCTGCGACAAAGCCCGGCAGAAGCAGCAGAGTGAGTAGGGTCCCCTGGCACAGTGAGGAAGCTGACGTCCACTAGGAGGCTCCTCCCCAGAGGCCAGCACATCCCGGCACATCCCAGCACATCCCGAGGGGTGTGGAGTGTGTGGAGACCAAGGTTGTTCCTTATGTAGAACACATTATGGAGAGCCGACCAGCCTCCTCAACCCCCAGTATCTGCCCCACGGATCTGCCGTGCCCAGAGCACCCACCAGTAAAACTGCTCCCCTGGGTCAAGGCACCTGACTCCAGGCCTCTGTTACAAAGCAGACGTGTCACTTCAGGGGCGGACGTGAGTTCATCATGCACCCACAGAAAGTTTAGGTGAAAGTTGTTCGCCACACTTGCCGTCTTGGGGAAAGGGGCCGAAGATGAACTCAGTGAATGCTTTGATCTGGAGTGGGAGCGGCAGGGCTGAGTTTGAGATGAGACTCCATTCCACGTCCTTTAGATCCATGCCATAATCACGTTTGCTTGGTTTTCCTTTATCGTGTTCCTGGGATTTTGAAGCAGATACGTTCAGCATTCCCTGTGTCTTGCCCACTCCAGCCCCCAAGTTACCTCATGTTCTGTCCTTGTAATTTGTCTTTAAAACTTGCTCTCAGGAAAGGATCTGCTATCAGTCATTTACACTTTAATGAAAATTTCGTGGCTGTGCTCTTTCTCTCCTGTGACTTTGCTCCTTGACCCTTAATTCTAATTATGAAGTGAAAGAATTCTTTCCTCTTCTCTACCAAGAATTTCAAGTATCAGTAAATAAGTAGGGAGGGATTTTCTGCTCAAAGAGCTCTCCCCTGATCTGTGAAATACCCTGCTGTGGAAGAAACTGCTTCCTTTTCCCCCTGTGTGAGACCTGGGCTGGGACACTTCAATGGCCAGGCCTCCTAGGGTCAGGGGTAATGCCCAGGAGGGGATGAAAGCTCATAAAGCTGTGCCCACCTATATTCTCTGCCATCCTGGAATCAGGCCTGCACTGCTAGAGTCGCACAGACTCAGGAGTCAGTTGACATGGCCTTCCTCCTCTGCTCTCTTACAGGGAAACGCTGTCCCAACTGTGATGGGCCTCTCAAGCTGATTCCTTGCCGAGGCCATGGGGGCTTCCCGGTCACCAACTTCTGGAGGCACGATGGACGCTTCATATTTTTCCAGGTTGGACTGAATTTAGAGTGAGGAGATGCCATTTCTCTTTCATTCAAGAAATGTGTACAGAGCACAGGGAGAAGTTTCGTACAGGAGGTGGATGGGTGGACGAGAGCCTGTACCAAGCCTGAGGCCCACGCTGGGCAAGCAGATGTCTGTACCCATACCTCAGCAGACGCACCATGTACCAGGGAGCCAGCTGACTCTGCCTCGGGCTTCTTGGGGGAGGCAGCTGTCAGTACTCCTATCACGCTTGGGCTAGCGCAGTGCAGGGGCATGCAGTCGGCTTCAACAGACCCGAGGTCGAATACCAGCTCTGACCTCTAACCGACTCTGTAAACCTAAACATGTTACTTTGCTCCCCTAAACCCACAGTTTTACATAAAATGTGGATGTTAAGAAGGACTTTACGGGGGGCGGTGGTGTAAACAGGATAGAGCGTGGCCTCTGATGGCAGACTGCCTGGGTGTCAGGATCAGTGTCCCTGCAGAAAGAGAATGTCCTGATTTGCTAGGGTGTCACCAGCCATTTTTAACAGCCAGCTCACAGAATTCCTGAAGGTCCTAGAGCTGGCTCCCCACTTGCTAAGGAGGTTGCCTGGCTGGTATAGTTTCTCCATGCTTCAGTTTCCTACTCTGTGAGCGGGGGACAGTAATAATGGTGGTAATACTAATGTGCTTGAAGGTAAAATGAGATCATGTGTTTGTGACCGCATCCTCTACGTACCATAGGAAGCACTTAGAAAGTGGCCCTTGTGATCATTGTGGATATGACTTGGCCAGGTGTGCAAGAGGCACCATGGGAGGAAGGGGCACCATGACCAAAGGCAGGCAGGAAAGCACATGGTGGGTTTAAGAGGTCTCATCAGTCTCATGACAGTCATCAATGGCAACAACGCCCCGTCAGGTGGCAGGGCACAGGATAAGCCTTTATATACCGTGAAGTACAGTCTTGTTATTTATTTTACCTCCCTGTCTCCTCTAAGTCAAAGGGAGAACACGATCATCCCAAGCCAGAAACCAAGTTGGAAGCTGAGGCAAGAAGAGCAATGAAGAGGGCACAGATGGCATCCTCCTCTGTCTCCTTAAAGCTGAAGGGGAGCCCAGAGACAAAGGTAACATGTCCCCTTATTTGTTCAAAACGTACAACTCACCACCCATGTGGTGGGAGCAATAGATGTCCCTGGTCCCTTCCCACCTACCAATGAAGTCAAAATCATACTATCCAGCTCATCTACAAGCTAGCATCCACCAAACAAATGGAATCTGGGGGTTTCCTCTTAATTTCTACCATCTTTGTGGTATGTTCTCAAATGTTCATTAAATTCCATATATTTTTAGAATCATCGTCCCCACTACAATTGACAAAAGAGATTTGGATTAGTACTTAACCTATATTCGGCACTTTATCTTTTGGTTCTATCAAAAAGGAACCTAAAATGATCTCCACAAAATAATTAGCCTTGTGTTTAGAATTTTTCCCCCAAATTTCCATTCTTCCCCTAAATAGAATATTTCCTCAGCACATTGTCTCAAGATGAAAAACCCACTTTTCTGAAAATAATGGCCATCTGGAGGGTTGGGGTGGGAAAGCCAAACTGTGAAGTGAAGTCTGTGGGTCTGTGGGCATCATACCATAGGTTTGTGGGTATGTCTGCCTCACAGTGGTGCTAATTCCTGTATTTTACTACTGCTCAGGGCTCTACATTTCTTTTCATGAGAACAGAGATGGAGTCAGTCCATCCCTAGAGGTTGTAAATGTGTCTCACATAGGAAAAATTGTCATTTGAGTCTGTAGGGAAATGTGAGTCCTTGAAACCAAATGGCTGGTCCCTCGTCCCTTCTCCAAGCCATGGGACAGGTTGAAGGACATTTCCTCCCAGTCACTCTGGCTGGTCATGGTCTCTCCACCTCTACCCTCTTGTTACATAAACAAAAGGATAACTTAATTCTCAACTAGATTCTTTTCCTGTGACTTACTGGAAGGTAGTACACTTCCTTCATTTATAAAAAATAAATTTACTACTTATATATTCTACAGGTCCTATTTATGATTCAACAAAATTCCCATGAGTTCAGAGAAAAATCTTGAAGGAAAAAAATAAATAACCCTAGTCTCTCAGACTGGAAACAGCACTAAAATACAGGGAAGTCAAGGAGGGAAGTGATGTGTGTGTGTGTGTGTGTGTGTGTGTGTGTGTGTGTGTGTGAGAGAGAGAGAGAGACAGAGAGAGAGAGAGAGATCCCCTGAGAGTTATACTGAGTATAATATAAATCTTTGAAGCCATGACTTGATTCTTCTTAAATAGTCTCTTGCAAGTTCCTCACAAAGGCAGTTAGAATATCAGATTTGTGCTTGAGGATGAAACATTTTATTTTTTTATGATTTTTTTTTCAATGTTTATTTTTGAGAGCAAGAGAAGAGAGTGTGAGCGGGGGAGGGGCAGAGAGAGAGGGAGACACAGAATCCCAAGCAGGCTCCAGCCTCTCAGCCCTCAGCACAGAGACCAACATGGGGTTCGAGCTCACAAACTGTGAGATCATGACCTGAGCTGAAGTTGAACACTTAACCAACTGAGCCACTCAGGCGCCCTGAGGATGAAACATTTTAAACACACTCACTCTCCTCAGAGTAAAAGGAGTAAGAGTAATTCGACTCTTACTGGTTAGTAGGCTTTAGAATGGAAATGGAAGAAGCTTCTTTCAGGCTTTAAGTAGTTGTGGTAAGACTCCCCTGTGCATTTGTGCTTCAAGTATGTGAGGAATGAGGAAAATCGGACGGAGCACTGATTTGTGTGGAGTAACTCTGGGTGCCTGTGGTAGTTGTGTCAATTTGCTTAACTTATTAATGTGAGCTTTTCACTTTCCTTTCTAGTCTCTTCCAGGTGAAACACAAAGTTGGGGAAGTTTACCTTTAACTTGGTCTATCCAGGAAGGCATCCAATTGCCTGGTAGTTACGGTGGACGTTTAATAGCTAACACTCCCCAGCAGAAGTCACTGAATGATTCCTTATTCTTCTCCAAGAGTTATTGTTTGGGGGGAACCACTGATCTGGTAGACACTGCTTCTACCTTGGGCCCCACTAAACTCTATGAGAAATGCAAATTGTCCAGTAGTTGGATTTATAATAGTGGGGACCTGCTTCATCCTGTTTCTGGAGTCTTCTCTGACTACGATGATCGGCAAACGTGGAATAAAAACACTGCTTTGGGGAGAAATTCTCTTAATGACAATCGTTGTCCCAATTATCCTTTTGCTTTGACCAGCTGGCCTTATGATTTCTCCCCTTCTCAGAACTCTTCAGAACCCTTTTCCCAGCAGATTCCCGTGGAACCACCTGCAGCCGAAAGTAGCTGTCACCCACTATGGCCAAATCCAGGGGGTGATCTTTACGAAGAGAAGGTGCATGTGGATTTTAACAGCTGCTACCCTTCCACCACATGCCACTCACGTCAGGAAGACCCCTTTCTCCTCACCTATACCCCCCACCCCCACCATCAATATTCATTGACAGGCAAGAGCAGCGAGTGGGATTTTAATGAAGAAATGAGGGGCATGGGTTTGGATCACTACAACAATGAGATGCTTCTAAACCTCTGTCCTTTAAGATGATCCAAATAGAAATCCTTGGACACTACTAGCAGGAACGTAATTTAGTGCAGACGCTGTGGAAAACAGTTACAGAGGTTCCTCAGAAAACTAAAAGTAGAACTACCATGCGATCCACCTATTTTCCTTGTAGGTGTGTATCCACAGGAACTGAAATCCTTATCTCCTTATCTCAAAGAGGCACCTGCACTCCCATGTTCACTGCAACATTATTCACAATAACCAAAGTACAGAAACAACCTAAGTGTCCATCAACAGATGAATGGATAAAGAAAATATGGTGTATACACACACACACACACACACACACTCAATGGACTATTATTCAGCCACACAAAAGCGAGGAACTCCTACCATTTGGGACGACATGGATGGACCTTGAGGGCATTATGCTAAGTGAAATCAGTCAGACAGAAAAAGACAAATACTGTATGGTCTCACTTACACGTGGAATATAAAAAAATAAATGCAGACTCCTAGAAACAGATCAGATTGGTGGTTGCCAGAGGTGGGGGATGAGAGGTGGGGGGTAAAATTCAGTGAAGGAGATCAAAGGATACAAACTTCCAGTTTTCAGATAAACTAAGTTCTGGGGATGTAATGTACAACATGATGACTCTGGTTAATAGTACCGTATCGTTGTATATTGGAAAGCTGCTAAGAGAGTGGATCTTAAATGTTCTTATCACAAGGGAAACAATATTTGTAACTATGTGAAGCAATGGATATTAAGTAAGCTTCTTGTGGTGAAAATTTGGCGGTAATACATATATCGGGTCATTATGTTGTACATCTTAAACCTATACAATGTTATATGTTAATTGTATCTCAATAAAACTGGAAGAAAAGAAAAAGGTGACCCAGATTTTTTACAACCATTCAAAATAACTGTTTTAGTAAATTGCTGAAAGAATTTATTTGGGAAAGAGTTTTCAAAAACATAACCACACATAAATTGAAATTATGACAACAAGCAGAAGGCACAACTTCCTTCTTCACACAAGGAATTTGGGTCCTCCTCCATTCCAGTCTTCCCATGCTTAGTGAGGAACTCGTCCCGTCTGTGGAAGGAAATGGCCTCTGCTTTTTTTTCTCCCCCCACATTATGTGGGGTTCTCAGCACCTCTGCTGCCTTAACTGTTACATTTTCATTGTCCTTGAATCCTATCAAACAGCAGAGATGTGAAAAGCCCACCTACCTAGGAACTCACATATGCCTTCTTGAAAACTGAGGATGAAGCAACAGAGATTAAGGGTAAAAGAGCTTCGGAGGTGTAGAAAGATGAAGATTCTACCACTGAGGTATTTAATGCTTTGTCTAGTATTGTGGGATTCGTTCATGAAATATGTGTTTTCTGGTTGATTTCTAAGACTTGTCAAGACAAGGAGTATGAACTAATTGCATCTAAGACCATGAGCAGCAAGACTAAACAGCCACAGGAAGAAAAATCCCCATGGGGCCAAATGGCCTCTTGCTCTTCTTTCCCCACTGCCTTCCCCTTCCGTGAAGGCTTAGATTTTGTCTTATTTACCTTTGTTTTTATAGGGCCTAACCAGTGCCAAGTTCATGATACGTGCTTGAGAAATGCTTTCTTAGAAAAGTCCTTATGTAATTAACATGGCCATGGTTGGCCCCCTGTATCTGGATGCCAGTTCCTCTTCTTTGCTAAAGTATTTTATAGTGAAAGATGAGCCTGGACATAGAATCTGGAAAGAACTGTGCAATAAACAAATATTTTCCAAAATTAATTTGCATTGCTATTTGAATGATAACCAATGGACATAATACAAAATTTGGTTCCCGGTCTCCTCCTTAAGGGAATATTGACTCATTTCTTGTCTGTTCTTCCAGATATATATATATAGAGAGAGAGAGAGACAGAGACAGAGAGACAGAGACAGAGAGACAGAGAGAGTGACAGAGAGAATCATACCAGGTTCATTGCTAGCATGTCTTTTGTCATTTGGGGACACAATCTGGACATCAGATCCTTATAAGCACATAGGACCACAGTTGCCTCATTTTTAATGGTACAGAATACATTACATGACTGTATTATAGTTAATTTAAATAGTCCCCTATTAGTAGACATTTAGATTGGGTTGAATCTACTTTATTTTTTTGTCCAAGTGCATAAAACTTGCATGTTCAGTTTAGCAGAGTTCTAAAGCAAATTCTTATACAAGCACTATCCAGGTCAAGAAATAGAACTTTCTGCTAGTTCAGTAAATCAAGGTCCCCTGGTTGCAGCCCCAATCTCACCCACTCCTGATCTTAAACCCCTTCCTGCATCCTGAAGGTAATTGCTGGAATGACTTTTTATATTTTTACTGCCTTTGCATGACTATTAAAGAACGGTTTGGTTTTGTCTTTTGGGGGGAACTTAACAAATAGAATCATATGGGAGACTGTAAAAAAAAAGTATTGAAATATAACATACGTACAGAAGAGTGCACAAATCATAGTCTACAGCTCAATAAATCACAAGCACACACAAATCTAGCCGTCACCTGGTTAGCATATATTCTGCTCAACATTGTGTCCGTAAGAATCAGATTGTTGTGTGTAGTTGTAGCTGGTTATCTTCACTGTTACATTACATTTATTTATTTTTTCTTTTTGGAAGTTTTATTTTTTAAAAGGTTTTTTTTTTTATTTTATTTATTTATTTTGAGAAAGAGAGAGAGAGCACAAGCAGGTGAGGGGCACAAGCAGGTGAGAAAAGGAGAGACAGAATCCCAAACAGGCTCTGCACCATCAGCACAAAGCCTGATGCGGGTCTCGAAACTACGAACTGCGAGATCATGACCTGAGTTGAGATCAAGAGTCAGACGTTTAACCGACTGAACCACACAGGTGCCCCTCATTTATTTTAAGTTTTTTTATTTAAGAAATCTCTACACCCAACGTGGGGCTCAAACTTGACCCTAAGATAAAGAGCCACATGGTAAGCCAGCCAGGTGCTCCTCAATTTATTTTTATTTCACCCCAAATGTCTTTTTCCCATGCTCTAAAATAAGGTGTCTGCTTGCTAAAAATTTTGGCTCAAAATTCTTTGAGAAAGTAGTGTGAATGAAATTCAGCTCCTCTCTGAGATTTCCAGGATTTTGTATCTCTTCATCCTGCGTGGTCCTTGAGTATATACAACCACTGGATCTGAGAGTTTGAGCTAAGTTTAAAGGTCACTTGTGCAACAAGTGTCTGAAGACACAAGAATCTCTCTTACTATTTGCCAAACAAAAGTTTACCCAGCATGTTTTCATTGCTTTGCAGAGAAGGGGGTTTCTTTTCTTTAGAGCATAATCACCAAATAAAAACAATAGACTTAAAATGCACTTTAATGTACCTTGAATGTTCTGATTTTCCTTGTTTTTCAAAGGGAGAATTCGTATTCTTATTGTTCCACCTCTGAGCAGGGATGGAGTAGATTAGTGTGTGGGTTTAACTTTTTTTTTTTTTAACTGGGATATAATTGACCCTACCATATCAGTTTTAGCTACACGACATAATGATTTGGTATTTGTATATATTGTGAAATGATCCCCACCATAAGTCAGCATCCATCATCACACAGGGTTACAAGTTTTTTTCTTGTGATAAGAAGTTATAAGATCTACTCTCTTAGCAACTTGCAAATATATAGTTTCATTTTATCTCCTGTGCATGTTTAACTTTAGCAGAAACTGCCAAACTGTTTTTATAAAATGACTATATCATTTTGCATTCTCACCAGTAATGTACATGAGTTCCCGTTGCTTCTTGACCCAGTCTTTTAAATTTTAGCCATTCTAATAGGTAGGTAGTGCTATTTCAGTGTGGTCTTAATTTGCATTTTCCCTGATGATGTATGATGTTGAACTTCTTTTTGTATGCTTATTTGCCATTTGTATATCCTCTTTGATAAAGTGTCTATTCAAAACTTTTGTCCACTTTTTTTTTTTTTCCAACGTTTATTTATTTTTGGGACAGAGAGAGACAGAGCATGAACGGGGGAGGGGCAGAGAGAGAGGGAGACACAGAATCGGAAACAGGCTCCAGGCTCCGAGCCATCAGCCCAGAGCCTGACGCGGGGCTTGAACTCACGGACCGCGAGATGGTGACCTGGCTGAAGTGGGCCGCCCAACCGACTGCGCCACCCAGGCGCCCCTTGTCCACTTTTTTTTTAATGTTTATTTATTTTTGAGAGAGAGAAAGAGTGTGGGAACAAGTGGGGGGAGGGGCAGAGAGAGAGAGGGAGACACAGAACTGAAGAGACTCCAGGCTCCAAGCTGTCAGCACAGAGCCTGACATGGGGATGGAACTCATGGACCGTGAGATCATGACCTGAGCTGAAGTCAGACGCTTAACTGACTGAGCCACCCAGGTGCCCCTGTCCACTTTTTTATTGGGTTGATTTCCCAATAAAAAAATTGTAAGAGTTATATATTCTGGTTATAAGTCTCTTATCAGATATAAGTTTGATTTTTTTTTTTTTTTTGGAGAGAGAGAAGGAGAATCCCATGAGGGGCAGAGAAAGAGATAGAAGTGGGGCTCACGTGGGGCTTGCGTTTTACCCAAAGTGGGGCACAAGCTTACCTGATGTGGAACTCGAACTCACGAACTGTGAGATCATGACCTGAGTTGAAGTCAGATGCTTAACTACTGAGCCACCCAGGTGCCCTAGATATTTCCTTTATATCTTTTCGATAAAAGTCTATAATTGGATATGTCTTGCATGTTTTTTCTCCAGTTATTGTGTCTTATCAAATACAAGACCACCAAGATTTTCTCTTAGCAATTTTATTTTTCAGCTCTTAAATCTAGGTCATTGCTCCATTTCTAGTTATATGGTATGAGGTAAGCACTGAGCTTCATTTTATTTTGCACATGGATGTAAAATGGTTTCAGCACCATTTGTTGAATCAAATTTTAATTATTATCTTTGGTTAAATGAATATTCAGAATTTCTGCATTTATGACTATGGTTACAGGTAGACCATTTGGTGTACTATAATTACCTTTCCCTTCTTAGACAACAGATTGTTTATCCCAGAGTTAATAATTGTCTCCTTTTATTGCTTAGTTTTCTATATAGCAATAATTTATCCTCAAACACTGTCCAAGCTATACAAGTTGTTTTCTTTTTTTTTAAGTTTATTTATTTATTTTGAGAGAGAGAGTGAGCAGGGGAGGGGCAGAGAGAGAGAATACAAGCAGGCTCCACACTGCCAGCATGGAGCCTGATGCTGGGCTTGAACCCATGAAATGTGAGATCATGACCTGAACCCAAATCAAGAGTTGGACA